GTTATAAAAAGAGAAGCACACTTACAGAGAGAGAAAAAAGATTAAAAGATCCAAGAGGCCAATAGAGGCCTCTTGGATCTTTTATAGATAAATGGGACAGAATCATAGTCCTTCTGGATAAGCACAGAAATTAATTCTGTGCTGAAACTTGAGTTTTTCAGATCAGGGGAGAGCTGGTGGTGGCTTCTTTGAGTTGGATGGTTCTGGACCTCCTCAGAAAACCTTTTCCTTTTAACTGGTACATCTTTGCCTGAAGCATTTTGGCTTGCAAAGGAGTTCGAACTCTAGCCGCTTGCATTTTAGAAATAAAAGGCTTTGCCCAACTTATTTTTGTAACCGTTTCCTAGGAGTAGATCTTGCCTTACCTTCAGGCTGTAGCCCCAAGCAACGTTGGGGTACTGTGAAAATTAGCCAGGAGTACATTTTAATATGGTGAAAATTAACCAGGAGTAATTTCCCTCGCTCTTGCAGAATTCAAAGCAGATTATTACAGCTTTTTATGCTGTTAGCAACATATTTAGACCGAAGCTCCGGCAAGGAAGCCACCATCAAAACAAACAGCTCATGTGTTTTACTTACGTTAAACTAAGTGAGCGATTAAAAGTAAAACAGTGAAATAAATTGAGCTTGGCAGCCAACCAAATATGCCTGAGGCAGCAACAGCAAAAGATTTTATTATTCTCTCTCTCTTTTTTTTCCTTCTTCTCTTTTTTATTTTGCTAGATTGCATTTCCCAGGGACGGCGCGATGTTAATGAAATCTGCTTATATCCATTCTTTCAAAATTCTTCTCTCCATCTTCTGCAGAAGCAACGTGCCATATTAACTTTGGAAACATTAGTGCATCCGATGTTGCTAAATAAAAACTCTTCGGATACATCCAGGTGGAATCCTGTTGAGGATCGTGGAATAGAGAAGACAAGTATCTTTCTGCCTTGAACAGTTAGGTTCGTGTTGAGTCTATTCATACCCAGCAGCTAGAATTCTTGGGGGTCATGGAGATGAAGAAGTTTGCTTTATTGTTCCAGACTGAAAACGATTGCACAACAAACAACATGACATTAAAAGAATCCATTAAATATACTCAACTGTTAATAAAATGAACACAGTGACGACACAATGAAACACCGAACAACAAAGGCAACTGAAGAGAAGTTGGTGACTTTTCTGGAAATCTCAGTTGACCTGTCAACAAAGTGAAGGAGGACAAGCGACGCCCTGTAGGTGATAAGAAACCTTTTCAAGAACAGAAATGCTCCTGATCACTACAAAATTTCCATGTGTAACTGAAAAATGCAATGCTTTGACACATTCCCGGTGGATTAAGCCTGGTTAACCACAGCTTAGCCATTGCTTAAAGCCAAAACATTTGAGACATTGTTGAG